ACGTGTCATTTTATCCATTCTTTTATAACAAACATCAACTTTATCTAGGGTTCGCATGGGTCCCTCGCGTTATCCTATCGTTTTCCAATAGTTGAGGACAGCAACGGAGGAAGGCCAATCAGCTGACGCACCATCAACTTCCACTGCCGGCATGGCTTGTAATCCAAGCGAAATGAGTGGATGTCTTACGATATCTCATCTAGTACAAGTCTAGTAACCTCAGTATCGGCACTTTAGACTGCCTTCGAACCGTCACCTCTGTCTGACAGTCAGACCAGAATGTTGAGGCAAATTTGAATAGCTTTGCTCGGGAGAAGTGCATACTGCTGCAGATGAAAACCACAGTCAAGCGGGTATTTTGAGGATTGCCCTCGGCGAATCCCCAAATGAGCAACTCCAATTAGAAATTCAATAATAATCGTTCAGCTTTGTCACCCTCTTGGTGCTCAGCTGCCATACCACCCAAAAAAACACGAGAGTTGGGATGCTGCCAGGTAGCCTAAGCCTAGGCAGAAGGCCGGATGCAGAGGTCAGGTGCGAACTACGGACCTTCCGGTCAGTAAATCTGCCCTCTAACCAGTGAGCTATCTCGCCTTCCGTTTCATCGATAAAACAAGTGATAAAACGGTTTGCGTATACGATGTGAAAAAATTATCCCCTTTCTCAACAGCCGAGGTTTAATCACTATTCGGTTGTCTACGCTCTGAGCTTGAGAATCTTCTTACTGTTTCTGCTATGTATTAGTTGGGTCGGTGGTGAAACCTATCATCTGAATCTTAATTTAACAAGGCACAAGTAAGTATTAGGTCGCCTTGGGGGCAACAATACCCTAGGCTGAGTTCAAGCACCCCAAGACGCTTTTCATAATTAACAGAGTTGAGGCGTGCAAAAACCTCCGTACAAAATCCGCAAGACGGTCAATAAGGATTACATCCTAAGTATACAATTTGGTTGGCGTATTCAAGAGGCGGTCTAACGTAGGCCCCATAGGGCATCTGGAAGTCCAGATGCGTGACACAGGGAAGATGCAACGAACAAATCCATTTCGAGCAGAATTTTTGTGGAGTAAGGACACGTCTGATGAGAGCCGTATATCTAAATCCTTTTTGGTATCTATCCTCGTAATGTCTTTTGGCCCATTCTCATGTTGCGTTCGCTGGGTCTCCTCCGAATGACCTATGCACGCAATTTCACCCTTCAGACGAAGGTAAGTCCAGTGACCATCGCCTTACAAGTCGATGCTGGCAACCTAGATGACACTCTGTGCTACCACTACTATCGACAGCGTGATGCTAAAGTGTGGTTCTTCTCGCTAGCCATTGTAGGATTAGAGGGATCTTCGAGTTAAATTGCAAACTACTGTACCTCGGAAGATACACACCTGTGGGAAGTTAACTTGTACAGGGATACCCCTACCCGAGAAAACGGATGACGAAAGTACACGTGGTTATCTCTACGGTCTGGATGCGGAACGGACCAGCGGGCTCCCACGTGTGTACCTGTTCCCACGACAATGCAACATATGTCGCTTAAGCAACACATGTTGCATATGCATGGAACCAATACCACGTGAAGGAAGTCGCATCGCACGTCTATTTTCTAAACCCGATATGCAAAATATTTCGAAAAAAGGATAAAAAACGTGGAGGCGAGTATGCGAGACGGAGTGAATATTGCAGACTTTGAATGGAGGGAGCTTGACTAGACTGAACATCTACTTGCACCAACACCGTCATTTTGAACAACTGGGGGTGGCTAAAATCGATCGCCTAGAAACACTCGAAAAGAGGAAAAGCTTCGAAAAATTTAAATGACACGGCCTTGTTCAAACTTTCGTACCACGCGCCTCAACATCTGCAATGAGACGCTGATTGGCTGGTCCATCATCATCATCATCAACGACAGCATGACATCAGTGCTCAACACCAATGCTTCACTGCCGTACAGCCATGATTTATTTGAAAGCCTTATTGTAAAGAAAGGAATAAAGGTGGATGGGGGAGGGACTTAGTGCTAGCTTAACACAATCATTCCGAGGTGCCTACACCTCCAGACATTCATTCAGGCAATCTGGACAGAAACTGACAACAAGAACGCCACTGACATCGGTTGGCAGCCATATCTTGTAGTGTCTCCAACCAGGCACAGTGAGGATCACGCGGTCCCCATCCTGGAAGGCGAGTAGAACCGAAATGCAAATGCATTACCGTTTCTACGGAACAAGTCGCCACATGTTCCAACCCCCAACCTGGAGGGCCAGGAGACTGTGTTCGTCAGACCTCTAACCATTGACCAACCTGGTATGAGAGACTCTCTGAGTGTCGCGGGACACTCTCCAGTATAGCTCAATGGATCGCTGAGGTGCGCAAACCGTCACACCACGGTAAGGTCCAGTCTCTTCGTGACGGGATTGGCTGGTCCCTATTTGACAGACTGGACCGCAACGTAAGGTCAAATGTTAGACCTAGTGACTATGGTTGTTCTTGTTTAGTTTTCGGCCTTGATGGAGGCAAACAACTCCTTTTTACATCTAACGGGGGGTTTGAAGAGAAAACATATAATAGGATCCGCTGCGTAAACATGGACACAATGGCGTAATAAGCACCAAAGTCATTTTAGCGTCACTTCTACAACTGTGGCGTTGGACGTCAGAAAGTCAGCTGTCAGTCGAGATGTAGTGACGGCACATGTCAGTTCTGAAATGTGCAGATGTACGGACTGGTATTATTGAATCCACACGGCACACACAGCACACATTCGTACAGGCCGGGTGAAACAGGAACGAGGACCGGAGCGTGGCAACAACACACGTGCATTCAACCGAAACCGAAACCGGAAGTCAGGGGTGCAAAAGCTAGGTCAATGTCAGTCAGGGAGTGTACAAGCGGCTACTCTTTCCTGTCCGGGGCTCGTGGTGGTTCGACCATGGTACCTGCAATAGGGAGAGAGGGAGGGAGGGAGAGACACATGTGTGATAGACGTGCATGCAGGTACAGTCGAGTTTCAACTGCATTACACAGTGGTTATTTCAGTTTTGCGCCAATTTATACACCGTGACGCAATCTCAGTTAAAAACAAACATCAGGCGATAAATAGGAAACGTTTCCTAGCAGCGGTTGAAAGCAGGAGAATCGGAACCCCGGTGTACATCTTAAAGCAGGGCTCAGGCGCATCCCTAGAAGGTGGGACCCAACTGAAGGCCAGGCGATCGGGTATGCGGCTTCATAGTCTTATGACATAGGGTGCATATTTATACTGGTGGCTTCAACACAAAATCTTCCACAGTTTCAGAAACAACCCTCATGGTTATTGCGGGCTTATGGAACGCCAAAGCTCAACGAGTATTCTGTAGAGTGCTCTTTGTTCAATGTGTGATTATTTTGAAACTCGGACGAAATCTGGGCGCACCACAACTGGTTAGCGGTATTCAGTGGATACTGTAACCCTGTTGCCTGCCAGTGCACTGGGTAAGCATATTCGGTGTTTTATCCTGCTCAGTTACGTTAGGGTAATTTATTACTTGATTCTTAGACGAACGATTAAAATTCCTCTGAAACCATAGTCGGAAACTTTTACATAAATACTTAGCGTTCTACGCCATTTTTTTGATATTTTAAAATCTCCTCAGATAGTCACGGTTTTGCTGAAATTTTTTTAAGTGTAATTAATTCCCACTTTGGGAGTGTAATTCATATTTTCAGAAGCTGCCATGGCTCAATGTCATCTGCCTGTGAAGACTCCGGAAAGTAATGTGGGGATGGTTTCTCCGCAGTTTTCTCCAATATTGGACTCAAATATATTTTGAAATAGTACGTGAAAAATAACCACGTCGTCTTTGTCGGCGGAAAATGAAAATGGAGCAGCCATTCGCAACCCATGGGAGAATAAGCTTCTTATCATTGAGCAGGCATCCAGCCGGACAAAGCCAAGGAATCCTCCACAACTAGTAAAATTTCTGGGTTTTTCGCGGCAGCTCTCACAATACCGAGTGCTCTGTAAGCCTCCGTGTCCACTCATTAAATAAGTCTCCTGGGGTGTCTAGGGTAGAACTGGTGGGTTTGCGAACTGAACAAGCAGATTGCGTAATATGGTGGTCAGCACTTCGGAGTTGCGGTACAAATTAGGCGGACTGATTTGGTCTTGTGTGCGCATACTACAATTTTTTCAGGAACTAATAGAGATATGGTGAAACGTGGGCAAGTCATCGGATTGGATATGAAATTCGTGGTATTATCATCATCGCGACGTCATACTTGGAAGCAGAAGTGGCGTGAATTTATCACCCAATACCCTAAATAAACAATTCTGCCTACAGCTACCCGCCCACTAGGCAAATCGTCGCTGCGGCTAAATGTCTGAAGACGTATCGGGACCTTAGCTCCCAAGGGTAAGATCTATACCAGTTAACCTTATAATTGCCTTGCATAAACCCATACTTAACTTTACCTCTGGTGCGTCCAATAAAGCGGATGGTCACTCAATATCGGAATCACAAAATCAGTGTACACATGGCTCCTTCATTATCGATAATGGGAATAATTGAGCAAGTAGTGAGTAGAAGTAGGACGCCTGGATATTTCTGTCAAAGATATAAACGAAATTAAATTGAATACACATTTCCTATTTCCTATTCGTCGTCCAGTGTATGTGATCAAAGGAAGAGGAAACGGAGTGCCCACACATTATGGTTGTGCCAGGGCAATAAATAAATAAGAACCTAATTCACCAATGGTGGTGGATTCAGCGGAGCAACAATCAAATTGGTTATGATGAAGAACGGCGGTCGATATCCATTGCCTTAGGCCATCATTCACAATCAGGACTTCACAGGTCCGGGCCGTGTACTCACGATAAGTAGCCAAGCTGTGCGATAGCGCGTTAATTTGAGTATGTGGGACTTCTCGGGCCTTTGGATTAGGTCCTCACGCAGAGATGATGTCTGAGTCAGCGGCGTACTTACATGTAGTTCTAGCAGTAGCTATCAGCCAAGATACGGGACAATGCGTACATTTCTGAATATGGAGGACCGTCGTTTGGCTTTGGCCTCAAGCATCGTTGAGGCCACACAATCAGAGGTGTGTATAGGCACCATAACTAATCGCGGTAAGTGACATCGCGTATGGTTGTCATGATGAGGAACAATGATTAATCTTACTTTCTGGAAATTACATTGCGCTTTATGATGTAACCGAGATTGGTGACGTCGTGCTTTTTAATAGGAAAGACCACTTAAAAGGATGGTGGACATTCACATGCAGGTATCAGAAAATACTTTATCACTTCCTGTCTGGTTGCACATAACTGGGAATAGATATTATTTACAAGGGTGCATTTCCGCATCAATTCTACACAGTGCATTAAGTCGTGTTCAATTAATATACTGCACTCAATGCACATAGGAATCGGCGGTGATCCATGACATGCCATGAAAGACAAGCAGCAAAGCGTACAGCCAAAGTAGAGTAAATTTCTGTAAAACTTTCTACTTCGGGAACTCCATAGTTTCGGAGAAATTAATCTCGACTTGCTTCTTATAATCGGCCCCACTGGCAGTATGGGCAGTTTCGGATATAAGTTTGTCTCCAGCGCCCATTTACCAGGCAATTGCCCTAGCTACAGAAAACTTTTGTCACTGAGCAATTCTGAAAGTGAACTTGAATAAAGCATTTTTGTTATACGGACTAAACTCTGTTCAATGGGAGTGTATTTAGCAGCGCATTTTTATATTGATTCATTAGGGACACATCATAAATAACCTCGAAGCATTCCACTTTGGAAGCCGAATAATCGTCCTATAACTGTGTTTTGCTGCTAGGTGTCCTAAAACACCGGAAACTCAATTCCAATTTATATTTTAAAATCAAGCTTCCAGTCGCAAAAGTTCCCGAAATATCACACCACTGACGGCGTCATACTCACAACTCCTCCAAAAAATTTGGTCAACTGTGACTGTTGGCAAGTCGAATGCTACTAATTCGCTTGAGGAGACTTCGGAGCAACCCTACGAGAACGAATCCACCGCTGGTACACTGGCCATCAGAACTGTGTAGGAGTCTATGGAACAGGTGCGGAAGATTACGGAAGCCTAGATCTTAGTGAGTTTAAAAACCATCTTCGATTTGGAGGGAAAATTAAGCTAGGATGCATCTAAATACCGACCGGATGGCCTGCGCTGGAACAACTGATAGTGTTTTCCACTCCAAAAACTAGCCTCTAGATTGATTTTCCCAGATTAGGATTACTGTAATGACCCAAAAATATGCCCACCTACATTGTAAGCTTATCCACGGTAAAAAAAAAGACTAACCTAGTTAACCACAATTCGGGGCTACATAATTTAAGTGTCAAATGTGCGTGTAAACTCGAGTGTTTTACGCAGGCTGGCTACTTCGGGATTCAAACCAATTCTCATAATTGCGATCCTATCCATTCGAAATAAACTCGACAGCATTTCAGAGGGAATGATGTAAAAAAAGTTTGCGCAGTAAAAATAGAAGCGGTATATCGAAATTCCCCTTTGTTTGAAGCGCAAACCCCAAACTGCCATGCTCTTAGTTCAGTTATAGGTTTTCGGCTGTACGACCCTCAAACCCTGTGAACCTCCTTTGGAAAGGCCACTGAAGTTGTTGACAGATGGACTTGATGTATAAGCTAGAGAGAGAGAGTTACGGTGCACGACTCCAAAACAGCGAAAAATTCTTCGCTCAGTTCGGGGCCAGATTCATCAGCTTTTCGATCCGATAAAAAGCCAAAAGAGCACTAAAGCCAACAACAAAATCCACGTTATATATTTCCAAACAAAACCGGCATAGCCTGATTTTTGTGCCTATGGATCACCCGACATCCTGCAATGATACAAATTTCACTGTAACCTTGTGGATTTTTATCCTTGGAATCTGTAGAGTTGTTGTTTGCCGAACATAAAATAGCCCGTTTTTAGGACGGATGCCCTCTCCGCCCAAGTGATTGAACGGTATCGCTCATTGCGAAACAGTCCACTTGCACGGCAATTTCATTTACAGGCTATAGCACAAAGCGCAAGTTAGTAGCCAAAACAGGTCGATTAATCATACGGCAAATGCTGAGACAACCCTGGTTGCCAAACAGTGGTCGACTAGGCCGGCGTGACGTCAATGCCCCTTTCCTGTAAATACAGTGGGTTCTAGGGAAAGGCACTATCAAGCTGATACTTGTGCATGAAATGACCACCCCCACAGATAAATCTGAATAATACTGTGCCCTCTTCTATAGAGGAGAATGTCGTTAGCTCAGGTAGCGTAGATGGTCGTTGGCTTGTTCGCTGAGCTGAGGACACGGGATAAAAGAACAACCAATGGAACCGCCCGACAGAATAACTAATCGCGGTCAAAGGTCATCCCCGGCTACCAGCACGTATATCAACATACACGCAACACTACTGAACGCACAACCACGAACCCACCACTACGCACAACTACGCACTGATGATGTCACCTCGATTGGTGATGAAACGTTTGCAACCAAATTGCCCAGTTCAGCGAACAAGCCAACGACTGTGCCCTCTGGCAGTCCAGTAGAATAACAGCGGACTGTTACTTAAATGTAACATCTGCCTGTTGGATCACGCAATGGGTGACGTGTTCTCCATAAAAAGCATATCCAATCCTACTTTGTAGTTTTAGGCACAAAATATCTAACCTAAGAATGAGTGAAGAAGTACAGCGTCTTCTCTTGTGTCCGTATTCTACTCATTTTGTCTTTGAAACCATTAACATCATAAATAATCTCCCTTTGTCTTGTCATGAAATGTCGAATGGAAAAGTGCATAAATACGGTGGCTAAGTTCATACTGAAATATAAGTACTTGGACGACAGCGCGTTAATATTTTGAGGTAGTTAGCATTATTGCACGTCCTCAGAACTTCATCTAGTAGATTTGAGACTGTCCTTCAACTTTTTAGGGGGTTCGCATCATCCGCAGATCTCCCATATCTAATAAATTGAGTGTATTCGTAGAATAGGGTTTCTAACCTTTGTGGCATTAAAAATTTAAAAATTTGAAATTAATACCTGTCCCGTTCACTGATCCTCAGGTTCAAATGAGTTGCAACATCGATCCCTGCAGGTTAGCACAAACCCCTTTTGGTAAACAATTTATACAAGAAAATTTAAGCAAGTGTGGTGAAGTTTTGTTTCAGAAGGGTTTGGCAAACTGTTGGTACTTTTTAACTGAACAGTGAAGTTTGTTGGATCTAAATGTTAGATATGTGCAGTGAAACCAAAAACATTACACTCGTTAACGGGTTGAGTTAGCTGGTAAAAATAGAAAGTACGGAGAGCACCCTGTGCGTGAGACATATTCCAGATTCTTGGAGAAGTTATTCTGAATACTGCCTTGCACCATCCCTTTCTACGACAACTTCAATTCGGCGGTATCCTGCATAATTGACCAGGAAGAATACAAGAGCGCCGAATCCGACAATAACCAAACCCAGGAAGTTAGTGAATAGCGCGCGAGGTGGAAGTTCACTATAGCTGTGTGAATAAGACAGGAAGGTGAAAAGTGGGTATCAGGTAAGTAATATAACTGTTACTGAATTCCCTCAGTGGCACTGTCAACCGTGTGGCCGAAATGACAAATCAGATATTAGAAACTAGGACAGTGGGATGGGATCATTCATAATTTGTCAACTGAGATGAGGTGGTGTTGAAGAAGTAGTATTTAGTATGTCCATCACCCGAAACTGCCACTACAAAAGCTTTATTTGGGTTCGGTCTTTCCTGAGGCCTAAATTTCTCAAACCGGGTGGCGAGTGACAGAAAGGAGATACTGATATCGTCTTTCCAAAAAATGTTTTGGTTTCAGGTCAGTCTCTGTGGTCATTACTATCTAATGGATCTGAAGCCAATGAGTTAAACTTCAATGTATTTTGAGGCCGAGCTCTATTTTTCCCTACTTTGCTGGTCAAATTGACTACTAGTTTGATTGCTGTGTTGTCCGTTTAAAAGACTCATCTTTGTTCATGGCGAGACAAAGTAAGTTGGAAAAAGTCCACCGTTCAGATTTACCCTGATTCATTTTGTGTACTGTAAATTCAGTTGATCCAGTGAGTGGTTGTGTCTCGAACAGGGTAGTATCAGTTATAGTTGACTGATGTGTTTTGATGGACAGCTTCACGCTTCCTGAAACGGACTAAATAGAAAAACTTTGTAACGTAAAATATGGCATATCAGTCAAAATTGCCACCGTTTTACTGCTGATACATTCCACCAGTGCTGGATTTCAAAAGTAGTAGTTGCCAACCATAAAGGAACATTCAAATTGAGAACTCGTTACACCACTTCCCCAAAGACAGACTCCTCCAGAGTAAGCCACTCCTGGGAAAAGTTTACAGCAAGGAGTTTCAGCCAGACTTCTGTACGGTCTACCAGTGCTGTGATGAACTGGTCTATTCCCATTATTGTTGAGGGCCAACGTTACTCCACAAAATGGTTTCTAGATCTCTGTGAAATCCGCTCATTTGCAAACCAATTTTGTTTTGCGGGAGGCTCACCTGGAACCCAGCTGAACCTCTCATTTTGTTGGTTTTAAGCAACTGGATCTGCTGCACCAGGCCACCTCATGTTTCGGTTGGTACGACATTCGAGATATCGTCACACATGTATGGGGGTAATACACTACTCATACGGTCGCTTAAACTTCTTCGACAACCTTGTGAGTAGTCTACTGTTAATAGACTACATTTCTTGGAAGGGTATAGCCCCCAACGTTGTATGAGCGAGAAAACGGGATTCTGAAACACGTTAATATACGAATAAATCCAACAAACAGGTGATTTCTGAACTTCTTGAGCTGGCTCAGTTCAACTCTCTATGGCTTGCTTGTAGATTCCAAAGAACGAAATATAGCGTGATTTATTTATTCATGTGCTACTTATTTAAGCTCTCACTTCAGTCGATGTTGACTATGCTCTAGCTGTTTATTGCAGAATATTGATGCATCGATGCCTGGTTTGTGAGGAATGATGTTTCATACACCGGAAGAGACAGCGATAAATCAGTAAATACTATGTCACATGACCAGGCTTCGGCCTGGCATAAGCTATTCCTGTCTAGATCATCATATGAAATAATTCTTATTTCATTAACCAGATCACCGAAATAAGTTTTGAAAGAAGATCCTGCATTTCCAAAATTGATACTCACAGAAGGGTTATGCAGCCTGTCGTTAATAGTAGTTGACCTGGCCCCCAACGTTGGTCTTTAATGATGCTGAATTCCTCTATAGAAAATACTGACTTCTGTTGGTGGATCTATCAGAATTTTAGATTTGTTGTTTCACTACGTAAAAAAGGTAATCAAAATTATCAAATTCCTATGAACACCGCATTCCATTCTCATGAACCATGATATTGTTTGCCTCACCTTTTAACCGTATTGTAAACAACGAAAACACGCATGTAATGGAAACTACAGGCCAATGTCGTTTCCTTGATTTTCTACAAAAAGCACTACGAATACCAAACACTACCTGCTGTTCGCGAAATGGAGTGATACTATGGAGCAGTGGGGACTAAAAAGTGGTCTGCTCTTCACTAAGTAACGCTTGATTCGAACAGATCTCCATGAGGAGAGAGAAAAACTGCTTGTAAGACAGACTAGACCAACTTCCTGTCGCCCTAACAAAAATCAAGTCAGCTAATCATTTCAAATTTTCTTTGCTGTTGTCACTTGGTAAAACAGCCATACTGCTGGCAATATAAGCCTGTACACGTACCGGTTGAGCGATGAACGTGGGTCAGAGATAGAGGGTTTGTCACCGTCATATTCCCTCCCTAGGGTCCACGGAAAGTTCAGAGCAGATATCCCCTGTGTTCATAGAGATGTGTTATATCAATGGATAATTCTGAACAAATGTTTCTTGTTATGAGAGTTGTATGGTTGAAGGAGGCGTTTACTGTCTGTAGTATTTATTTTGAGGAGCTTACAAAACTACTGCGACCTGCCTTAAGGGTTTCTATAGACCGATTAGAATTATGTGCTACCTGTTGTTTCAGAATAAACGTGAATATGAAATTCCTAATCCATTTACAAAAAGGCAAAGCATCTTTTTTGAGTCCAGATCTTGCCTCAAAATTTTGATTGTGCGGGGTTCCATACGACTCAGAGAAAGCTAGTGCTTCCTCCCGGAAGAGAGCTCCTACCCTAGCAACTTTGATCTGTAGTGTGCCAAATACCTACCTTAGTTTTCATACATTTACCTAAGCAGGCGCAAGGTCTGAAAGATAACTGTGCCCTTGCAGTTTTGAAAATTATTCCAACGATTCATGGGGATAAGCAAACAACTTGTCAGTTTTGGTGATCCAAATGTTTTACGCCAGCTCCTGGGCATTCTTTATAGATCCTGTGGCGGTCATATACCACGCCACACAATGAAAAGACTTCAGCTTATGCAGCAGAGATTTTCAGGTTTTCCAGATCAATAAAAAGAACTGCTAGTAATCGTCTTGCTATAATCTTACCCATAAATACCAAGCCTTTCCTGAGTGGTGAAATTCTTCGTGGTACATCTCTGACTTTTGATTTATGTGGGTGCAAAATTTTCAATGCCTATACATAGCTTCTTGCTGTGTGAGCTCAGACCGCTCCATTATTTTTTGCTGAAAACCCCGTTCTCCTGTTTCTTGAATCACACCCGTTTCATACACTCCTCATACTCTTATGGACTTCTCGATCTTCTTTGGAATATTTATATGTAAACTGAACTGGGACGTGATTGTAACGCTAATTCACTGTGTAAAAAATACAGGGCTGTCACTCTTAGCACAATTTCAGCTTTTTTGCGATAGACCATGGGAAGGAAGTCCTTGCAAGGAATTCTTATTCAACCTACTGAGAAGACACCGCAGCACCGTGAATGGAATCAGAATTAGGCGGTGCAAACGGTATTTCCCGGAGAAGAAATATATTATATTATTTAGACATAATTTGGACTATAAGACAAGATCGGAGTTTCTGTGTTGTTTGAATGACTGATGTGAATTGCGGAGCGACAAACTTTCAAGTGCTTCAACAACCTAGAGTGATTCTCCGATTAAATCCAGCCGATTGTACTGGTCTGTTGTTAAACGTTACTTCCACTGAGAATGTAAATCCTGGTTCCAAATTTCGCCTCACTGGTGTACGACGCTGGAATGGAACTGCATACGTAACCTGTGGGCCTTTTAATTGAAAGAAAGAATTCCTTCTGAAGAGTAAGTAGATGGAGAAATTTAAAACTGTCTTGTTCGTGTACATACATATGTATAGGGCATTTCGACTGAGCTACATCTGGACACTTTGAAAGTTTTGAAATAAAAAGTCATATAACCTCGCCTTAACAAGGGCGTAGGCAGTTCATTATTGGTAAAAAAGACTATATGAATGAAATTTCAACACACTTGCTTTGTGAACACGCTGGTCTCTCGTTTTTTCACAATAAAACACGTAAAACTGTTGTAGCAACTAATCAAAAGCTGTTCATTTGTGTGGTTTATGTTTCAGATAAAACACCTGTTGGATGCTGGAATGTTTTCTCCGGGTTTGTTAAAAGCATTTCCTCCAATGATTCAGGTCGTATTGTTGATGTAGTTTTTGTACATTTTACCGTATGCAGCGGGATGAAAATCTGATTGAGAGCTACGGAGGTTGCCATAAATCCGAAAGTAGAGTCCGGCCAGAGAACTTAAGTTTACTAAATTCAGCTGATGATTTCGAAGATAGAAAATGGACTCTTCATTAATAGTACTGTCTTTGGCTTCTAGTTGAGGTAGATCATTTTATGCTCTTATCGATAAGGACACGTAATGGAGGGATTTTATGATCGGAGACGGATCGGTCACGTTTAGCCTAAATTTGTATCGGTCTTATATCATGTTGCAATCTGATCTTACGGGAGAAAATTTGGTCGGGTGCCCATACTGGGGACTTGGACGAAAATGTTGATCAGGGACACTCTTCGCACTGAACATCAGAGGTCGTTTTCCAAGTTTACAAGAATATAACCATACAAAAATATATGGATCCAAACCTTATATGGATGAATGTTTCACGCATTTCTGATCAAAGTTGGTTTAGACAAGGATGTTTCATGTCAATCATGAGGTCCAAGTGCACACGTGCAAAGTTTCTAGCAATATCCGGCAATATCTAGCTGGGGAAACGCTAATCTTGAGGTTGTGGTTTGAAATGCTTTTGTCCCCAGTTCTATGTCCATTCGGTTTTCCTACAAAAACATGCGAGTTGGGTAAAATGCGCTTTCCGCAGTTTCACACTCGACACAGCATATTTACATTTTGATAGGCCCGAATTCCAAAGCACTTGAACGAGATCATGGATCTACACTACTGGTTCAAAAGTATAAATGGCTGAATCAAGATCATCGACAGGATGGCGCTGAGATGTAGAACTGATGCCAGAAATTGTACTCTGTGGTCCATTCAGTCTCTCCCGTACCACAAGGCTTCCGGTTAATGACCTTTTTCCGGTTTATTTTTTTTTCAATTATCAGCCAGTGACTTTACAACTTGTTAGATATTTCTACGATGTCTTTGCTACTTGAATGACAGAGAAGAATAAATAGAGTAAAAAATTTACATTTGATTGCCCTAACCAGCTGATTCTAGCGTGGTCTTTCAGTAGAAGAATTACCGTCAAAATGTGGATCTTGTGTTTTAACTTACTCTCTTGGGGAGACATTAATTGTGGTGATTCCACAAAGGCATACCAGTACAACTAGACAGTGAAGGAATAGTCCGAATCCAGTATGAAAAGGCAAATAGCGTGATCGAGGCTTCATGGGCGTTTGAGGAATTAGGAAGAACGCGAGACCGAAGATCCACTGCGGAAATGGCACGTTAGGCGGCAGAATGAAAATGAAAAGGGAGAATTTCTTTGGAGATCATGGCAGCAGAATGTCAAAGAAGCTTTACAGCACATAGCTAAAAATCGTCACATTTTTTTCTGACAAAACGGTTCTTTTTTAGTCTCAGTGTGCTTGTTATAAGTGTTAATTGCTAAATTAGTTGCCGGCTGCTAGAATTCTATTGTTTTTATCCGAAGAAATCTTGATCTCCTTAAACTGCGTTTTGATGGAATTACTGGAATGTTCAGACACGTCTTGAGATCAACTGATGTAAAGCCAAGTTATCTTAAGAGGTATTCATCTCTCCGAGTTTTATGCCAGAGAAGTGAACTAACTTGGTAATCTGTATCTGAGATTCAGTTGTCGCAGTGTTTCTAGCGAGGACCTCAAACATTCTCATCACAATCTCAAAGCTCATACATTTCTGTTTACCTTCTCCCCGTGCTCAACTAAATTAAGGAGCATTAGTAATACAGGTCAAGCGAAGTACTGGGTTTATGCAAAGTACGAGGGAAGTACAAAATTTCCCCGTTCATTTCTATGCTTGTTGTAGACTCACGACTAGCGGTACCCCGTAATTTCTATGGAGTAGTTTTAAGAAGAATGGCTTGCTCTTGGGGTTTTGGATTTCTGATATCAGGTTAGTACACTAAGGCTAGGACTTTGAACAAGAGAGCTTAAGGTGGATTAAAACAACTGACGTTTTCACAGAAAACACCAAAAATGAGCGCAGTTAAATGTAACTGTACCGGTTAAAGCAGATCGCAAGGTTTCTTGACTGATTCAGAACAAACCTATACAGAAAATAGACTATTAAGCATTTTCATGCGGGACGTTTCTCCTTCATTTCACCAAATTGGTACACACGTTCACCGACACAACAGTGCGCGAAGTGTATCCTACAAAACACTTTCTAACGTGGACCAAGAGCTGCGGTAGAGATGCATCTCCGGTACTTTACCATAAGTGCGGCGTAACACATCCTGTGCATCTCGATCAACACTAGGGCGGTGTAAGTCAGTTAACCCATGTCAGCTGTACAAACGTTTCTAGCTCACAAACACAGTCAGAGTCGGAACGAATCTCTTGAATCTCTCTCAGTCGTCAAGCATTTCAGTCCCACCAGTTGTTTAAACAGGTACTGAAACCTTAATAGAAATGTCAATTGGGTATTCTGAGACACCCGATACAACCACTGCTTCTTAAGCTTTTTGAGGTCTACCAATAAAGCGAATCGCAATCATTAGGCAGAGGACAACACACGTCGGCGTGAAGTCCGACGAGTTCGGAGTCTTCTTTTCAAAGATTTCACAGTGCGAAATGAACCTCGGAGCGTTGTATCTGATTTTAAAACCATGCCCGCTAGTCGTTCCCTACGGCATTACGAAAGCCGCTGACAGGATCTAACATTCGGTCGATGGATATCAACTGTCAAGTATGCACTTGATATACTTGTCCACATTTCAGTCAAAAATCGTGTCCATCAGACAAATTGATGCATACTGAGACTCCATGACAAGATGATACCTAAGTGGAAAAGCTTGAGATAGGGTGACGTACATATATAATTTTTCTACTCGTTTTGATGCTTATGATCATTTTCAGCAATACAAGACCCAACAAAGTAAGTCCACCGAAATTATACAGCTTCCATTGCCTTAAGATAAGTTATCATCATTCTAGCGAAATATACTCGTTTGCAAAACCTGGTACCCAACTTGATCTCTTGCTTATGATGTTTATAAGCAACTGAATGTACTCTACCAGACCACTAATGTTTCAGTTGGTACGATATTCAAGGTGTCGGGACACGTGTATAGACGTAGTACACTACTCGTAAGGTTGCTAGAGATTCTTCGGCAGCCCGCGGCCAGTTTCGTCCTTCTTGGGGCCAATCGGGTAGGCGCAGTCCCCGATTTTTCCTCAAATCTATGTTCTACTTGAAACAAAGCACATTCAGTTGCTCAGAACCATCATAAAGGAGAGATTCAGTTGGGTTTCTGATGAGTCTCTCGCAAAACCAAATTTGTTTACAAATGAGTGTATTTCGCTTGTTTCGTGCAATTTGGGTTCAAGTAGAACATGCGTTTGACGGAAACTCCGGGACTGTGCCTACCTGATGAGCCCCAAGAAGGGCAAAACCGGTCGTGGGCTTTCGGAAATTTTCAGCATCCTCATGAGCAGTGTATCATCTGTGTCGACTGTATCATCATTCTGTTCAAAAGATTGATATGTATACGGTTAGTCACGCTTATGCAAATTAAAAGCTTCCTCTACGCGCCTCACACGAAAAGGTTGACAAGTAAAAACAAGTCAGAATGAAATAGAATGTCATGTCGTACATTACACGGGTGAATCCACCTACGATGAGTCATTCTGACACACCAGGCCTCAGGTTTCTAAAGCAAACGGCAATCCGTTAGAACGAACATGTTTCCCCCCCTATTTAGGTATCAACAGAAAGTGATTTCTGAAGCGAGGTGTGAAGGCTTCGTGCTTTATGCGAGGTAATTTGTCCTCAGTATATTTGCTGCAATACAGATTTTCACAGCCACTGTGGTATGTGCTCGTAGGATTGCCGAAAAAGTCATCATTTTATAAAAAATGACTTTCTCACACTTTTCCAATCAACCTACACGTGGAATGCTTGTCACTTCTCAGTGGTTGTCAGTCACTTTGCACTATATATAATATATATGTATATACTACTTGAGAATCTTGCTTTATGCTACTACATACAGGCGATAGGCTTATGCTCTCGAGAAAAAAGCCGAAGTACTAAGTAATCTTTTCATAACGGAAACTACACACAAGATCGCTGAAAACTGCTCGACAGCCCACGACCGGTTTCGCCCTTCTTTGGGTTCATCAGGTAGGCGCAGTCCCCGAGTTTCCGTCAACCTTATGTTCTACTTGAACCCGAATTGGACTGTTTTCGAGAAATACACTCATTTGCAGATCAATTTGGCTCAATCGAATCTCTCGTTTATGATGCCCTCCAACCACATCCCAAGTTTATGATTACGTAAAAAGACAGTTTTGTCACGAAATACACTCACTTCTAGTTTTTAATGTTAACGGAAAAATTAAATGACTCCCAGCTGAATCTCCTACCGCATATCATAAAAGACAAACTGAGCAAACGTCAGGTGAGTATCCAGTCAAAACCAAATTGGTATGCAAATGAGTACAGTTTACTAAGTTCGTACAATTTGGGTTCAGGTAGAATATAAGGTTGACGGAGACTCTTGAAATGCACCTAGCATAACCCTCGAAGGAGTGACACCGCATGTGGACTGTCCGGGAGTTTTCAGCAGCCTCGTGAGTAGTTTCATTCGAGAAAATATTTTCTGGGCCCTTAGATACCTTATTTTCTTTCCTAAGCATTGTACAAATGAGAAGTATCATACGTGCTAACTGACACAATACACATATGTGTCAGCACGATCGTTTGAAGTTACACATTAACGAATTCTGAAATTTTCTCATGCCTATGAGCTTTCGTGCACAGTTGTGATTGAGTCAACTAAGTACGTCTAAAATCTGATGGCGTTAAATATTATGCCAATGAAAGTATGCCAGATTGTTACTGGTTGCCTAGACAGCGTCCATCCTTCATCCAGTCGTAATCAACCAATCTTTAGCTTGCCGTTGTCCACAGCTACGGAAGCAACCGCTTGTATGGAACACCTGGAGCGGGAAATTCCCTCTGCGAACTGAAGTTCTTTGACCGAATCCCTGATGATGGTATAACTCACTTTGGTGAGTTGTTTACATTTTTTGTGCCACAAATTTTCGTAGTAGCACTGGGATGACATTTCGTTTTTGTAAAATGATGTCCATAGGATGACTTTGTAAATGGTTTACCATACGAAGTTCGTTGAAAGCGACAGTAATTTGTTTCGGTATATGAATACGTCCCACTCAGGAAAGGGACACTAAAGACCCCAGATAATCTCAAAATTATACAGCGTTACTGTGGCTTGGTAAAATACGCTGACACATAACCGTCTTTCACCATGCATCTCTCACCTGTAGTGAAAATGCGACAAAAACGATAACCCCAAGCCAGCTGTGAATGCTGTAGAGTGTCATTGGTGGTGCATTCTTTCGTCTCTCATAGGCGGCCCTCACGCCAATCGCGGCGAACAGCAGAGAGAGTAGGAGAAGTACGGCGTGGGCAATTTTCAGTGACTTCTTTGGTTTATCTCGGAAAATCCGGTAGATGAGTATAGCTGAGATACAAACGTTCATGTAAATTAAAAATATATAGCAAACAGGGATGTGCGAAAAATAAAATGACGACTTTTATTGTACCAAAATATAAATGTAGTTTGAAGAAATATGATACATTTGTATTAGGAGAGATTGGGCTTTTACCGCCTTACTGCTCAGCTTGCCACAGCGATCCTCATCAAGAGGTTTCTCATTTCATCATGGAGCATGTAGTCTCGTTTGCACTACTGCAGTGGATGTTTCGTTGGCAACAGGAAAATGAGCACTGGTTCCTAACTCTAACGTATGACGTAATCGTGTAGTGTTGAAGACATGCGGAACCCTTTTTTCTATTGTAGGAAATGAATTCCTACAATACTGTAGATGTGTTTTGTGAAAAAGATCTACAAAACTGGTGTCAGAGCATCAGTAATCCAATGTGCAGCAGAATATTAAAGTTTGATCTATCCATTTTTCAGACAGGTGACCGAGTAACTCTCATCTAATGAAAAAAAACACTAGTCTAGTTAAGTTTTGATGCAAACATTACTTATGCATTACTGAGCTTGTCGTCAACACAGACTACCTGGCTCTTGTTTTGTAAACTTAAGGGTCATTCCTGGCTGATGTTCTCGAGCCATATCTACCAAGAGTGATATACTACTATATACTATGAATTTGTTGTGCTGACTCTAAAGGTGTGGATGATACAAAGGTTATCTTTGTACGAAAATTGCACATTAAGTATCCTTAACTGGACAGACCATTTTTCATGGATAAATGCTCCAAGGGACCTCATACATGAGTGTCACTATTGTACTGGGAGAAGGATTGTTGGACTAGAGGGCACCGCTCGGTTATTTCACTTCTCCACAAACTGATTAAAGTGGGATGGCGGAGGTAGTCCGGCGTTTCAGAGTGCAGTTTTTACCTTCAAAGTATAAAGCCTTGATTCAGGACTTCCATCTCTCATGTCCCTTTTTAGTATGCGGGAAATGAGTTGGCTGCTTAAGCCGTGGGTGTGTTGTTGCAAGTGAAGTCAATTCACTCCGTACCAAAGCATGAATAACATTTGGAAATTTGTGTCACTTTTGGCGTCGGAAACGGAAGTCACAAGACCATGCCTAAAAACGATCGGGAGAGCAATTGCAGTCTTCGAATATGAATATAGGAATATTTCATGCGTCTCTAAGTATGCCTAGATATGCCTCCGCAGTATACCAAGCGTCAAATGGTTGCGGCAGTTACGTAATCTTCCGGTCCATAAGCATGTTCTAAGTAACGCAATAAGTAATATAAATTAAGGTGTTTTGAACACTTATGACATATGCAAAATACCATCTCTCAGAAGAAGTGGTATCTACTAAAATTAGTTTGGGTTTTGTCAAAAAAAAAGGAAAACCTAACTTAGACTGGTAGTTTCCGGACCAACTGAATAGATTGTCACCATATGTAGAGGTTTGTTTTGGAGGAATTTTATTCCAGAGGATTGAGTTGAGCAGCGCATTGTTTGTCCTGTCTTGCAGTAGAGAATCGAAGCATACAAAATATTAAACCGTAGCCGGATTACCTTTGCCTGAAAAATCCTGATCGCGGTATCCTTCCTAAGGAAAATGTTGATGGACCGACCAACTTTCATTAGTTTCCTGCCGTCTCTTTATTAATTAAAACTTGTTTATTTTCTTTTGATGATTCTTTTATGCTGTATGTTGGATGCTGAAATCGAAGACCCCAAAAAACCCTAAACGTTTTGTGAATACTAATTTTAGATATGTTCCGTTTGACGACCATGATGTCAGCCCTCTAAGAACTGTGTGACATTGCGTCACATTATTCCCTGCTAGATAAAGGTGATATGAGTGACAGGCTAGCTGAATATATGATTGCTGCCTCCTCTTAGTATTTACTTGAAAATTTGTGCATCAACGCTTTGATGCTCTGAACTTTTCGCCAGTGCAGATCCAAGTTATCGTGGTCGAAACTCTTCTTGCCCTTTTGATATCCTTGACAAATACATTCTATCCCATTCAAAGCATTTCACCACCCGGAATCCAGTACGTCTCACTTGTTTAATTCGGTGTCTGGCTTAGTGCTGCTCTTTCCAATTAAATTCACATGAGTCGGGGATCAGAAGTCAATCTGTCTCGTCTTGTGAAATCACATTTTCTCCTTTGTCTCTCAGCGGGCCTCCCGGTCGTGGTAACAATCTATAACTCTTGTGGAATCATTCTATTCAGTTTGACCGTAAATTCTACCTGTGTCAAAACCGCACGCTAGACCGCATTATATTCCACATAAAAATCGCATTCGTGAAAAAGAAATGACGCTAACTCACAGTCTCCATAGAGAAATACAAATCCAAGTACCATGAACAGGATATGAAAGTTAATGACTTTTCTAGAATCATTCCAATCGAATCCATTATTATATACTTCACCCCGCACCCCGGCCAGGATTACACAAAGTAATCCAAAAACCTGAAGCGAAATCATTTGTAGTATAGAGCACATACCTGACTGAGAAAAACACCGGCCCAGAAAAGTTCTTTCTCAGCTTTTTCGAACATTCTCAAAGAGTGAACGAGAATATTTCTAAGCCTTTCACTGTTTGAATGTAAATGAATGCAAGTAGACTAACCTGTCTTTATTTACCAAGTGGGTTGCTCCGGTATGGATTGTTACGATAGGTTGAATGAGTCTGTCAGTCACGTGGAAGTCAGCACTGCGCTCGAAGACATGTTGAGCAAGTAGTAAGGTGAGTGTGTGCAGCGGGTGTAACACCCAACCCGACATATATGAATATTCCGGATGTATTTTCAGTTAGCCCTTATTCGTTAGAAGGTCAGTCTGTCCGACGAAGGCTGCCTGCTAATCCACCGTTTGTTGTTGGGGGAAAAATAGGGACTTTGCTAGAAATATCATTTGGAAGCATCAGGTATCAATATGCTTGTGGTCTTATTTTATGTCTATAACAGCTGAAAACTTTGTTAGCAACCAAGTAATATTTGATAACTGTGAGTCGTAGGTGACCCTATTTATATCCGATTATTCCGGAAGGTTTCAGAAACCTATAGTGAAAAAACGTGTAGATGAGACTGATGAAGATAAAATCAAACTCAAGGGATTTGCTATCAAATTCAAGTCTGTAACCTGGTTTTTGGACCACGTGAAGACTTAACACATTTTTTTGGAAGAATCCTATCTCGAAGAGGATCAGTTACCAGATTTTGTAGAAGTTGGATGGAGTAAAATAAACTGCACCTCCAAAGAAGAGCTACTGGTAAATCGTTTTGCAAACTTACCATGTTTACCTCGGGGAGGAGCAGAGCAAGGGCAACTGAGACAGGAAAGGATTGTTGAAAGCGGGATCTTTCAAACCCATGGGTAAGAAGAAGCACTGAGGTTGAACTCGTGACTATTGTCATTTGAACAGGTGATGCATAAGATTCGTGAGGACGCCGTTGTCTAAAATATCAGAATCTGCGATAAGACAAGCTGATTCCGACTGCTCATCAAAAGTCAGACTTGGTAATATGAGGACTTGTAATCCAGATAGTCTAGCAGATAAGGTACCACTTACGTGACGGTCGAATACCGGAGAAATAGTTTCTCATGTGTCCATCATAATCACGCTGCAGTTATCTGATTAGCAAGCCTTGTTAGTTGGAGGAGCCGGGAAGCAAAACTAAATAAACACGCCTGTGGTGACAAGCTCACCTAGTTTGTGTTGCCCTACAGACAATACGACCGTGATGTTTATGGCATACGTATCCGCTCGATACAGTTAGTCCAAAGTTTGCTCCAAATTACCAGCCTTCTTGTAAACGTTTGCGGTGTTATGGGAGGGATCTTTTATGAAGACCGCGTGATTCACACTTTCCGGTCTCGTGCGCCGAATGCATGGTAAAATTTCCTTGAGGACTAATTGAAAAGTTTGCAAAAGGTTTCAAAGAAAAACTATTATTTGGCTTTCTAGCTAGACACTATTCCCTAATTTTGTACCATCGACGCACATGTTTGTTCATATTATGTGAAACACAAACAAATCCATATATTTCATGTGATTTTCTCTTCTATTATTTTCAATTTGCTAAACACTTAGTTTATGACCAGCTCTGGTGTGAGTTGAACAGAATTCCACAAATATCACGTCGCATACGAAAAAAGTGGTCCAGAAGACAGCAGCCTCCGAGCTACACTTAATACGCACAATGCTCAAGGGTTTAGATTGCAATGATTATGTCATCATTTCCGTGTTCGGCACCGCAATTAATACTCAGTGATGACTGAGTAATATACTGGGTCATTTGAACGAAATAAAATGAAACACTTAAATCCGCTTCATAACTGACTGATATATGGATGACCTCATGCTAAAACGATACCGGCAAAAGCGGAGTAACTATTGCAACAAAACTTGCTCGATTGCAAATTTTGATGAATATTCATCTGGCAGGTCATCTGGACGATCTGTCAAGGAATTATCGCAAGCTCTTAGGGGCCTCACCGTTCATATGATGACTACAAAACACATCTACATCTTGCATTTGAGAATCGTGTGTGCCTTGTGGCTGCCCTAAATTTACAGTTATTACCAACACAAAAGGCGAGAAGAAAACATAGGTTATAATAGCGGTTGGGATTGGGTGTACCAAGTGAACAAGTAATTCACAACACGTTTTGCAGCTATCCTTTGCAATGGAGCCATTCTGGCTTCCACAGTGACGGTGATATTGGGGAAAGTTGCCAACGGCCTTTATAAGGGACTAGTTTTACTGGGGATTATTGTTTTATTGTACTAGTTTTCATCCATCTCATCACGGAAGTTGAATCCCGCTATATCATTGTGGCCTTTTCAAAAAGAAAACAGATTTCAGCACCAAGAGAGTTCATAACTGAGAAATAGTTGGTGTTCTAATTTTGAAGCCACCAAATCGCAAAATTCTCGTCAGCAACTCACAGATGTCCCTTAATTATCCACATTAACGGTTCCGAATCAATGAACTCACAAGCCAATATATACTCTATCAGATTCTACCATGTCTCATTACACTATTTTCTGTATCAACTAGTCCACTGATTAAAGTCATATTGATATTAGTTAGTAAACTTCTGGGGCGATTCACGTGAGTTTCGGGGTAGGTACAGTATCCGTATGTCAAATGGGATTATGAGTCTCCAGGACCAAGTTATGGGATATTATTAACATTAAAAATAAGGTGAACAACACTGACGTTGACTTGTTGAGACATGCTCGACAGAGCACATTTGCTGATTGGCTTTATTCGAGTGGAGGTTTCATTACCGTGGAAATACTGGTTAAAAACGTGCTGTGTGTGCCACTGGCGGTTCCCAGAAAATTTGCACGTTGTGTGTTAGGTTTGGAACTCATTATTATGATGTTCAACGCAAGAGGGTCGTTCATTATCTTCTTTAGCCCCCATTTACCTGCATTTCGTTCTTCATGGTTTTCGGCAGCGAATCTCTCACTAAAGGTAACCAAAGTTAAGAATTCAATGGCANAGAGTGTCGTTCATTATCTTCTTTAGCCCCCATTTACCTGCATTTCGTTCTTCATGGTTTTCGGCAGCGAATCTCTCACTAAAGGTAACCAAAGTTAAGAATTCAATGGCAAGGATACATAGACAATCTCACCAGTACATCGTTCCCGATTATCAATGGGCCAACGAGTTTCTAAGGATTAAATTTACTTTCCTGAACATTATCCTCTATAAAAGAGGCAAAATTTTCCGGTTTGCTCCCAGTCAGATCACCAAAGTTATGAAATTCAAGACTTTATCTGCTTGTTGTACGCGTATCTCGAGAGTTTAAGCAGTTTTATCGGTACATGCCCGTCTTGGGAGAATGTAAAGACATTTTCAATGTCGTTACCCAATACAATAGTTGGATCCACCAAAACAAAAACCACAGTATGTGGGAAATCTAGTAGCAAGACTGAGTTATTGTACTCACCATTTAGGTATCACACCTAATTTTTTCACTGACTACTGTTGACTAGCTCCCGAGATAGCAAAGTTTACAGCCTGTGCTGGATTTTATTCCTATGGAATGCGTTCAGTTTGCGCTGGTCTTCCAAATATGCTTTTCTATTTTACTTGTTCTTCTCTTCTGTTTTATTTCACTTACGAATTTATTGCTCGATGAATCGCACTAATGACAAATAGCAAACAGCAACAATGGCGGATATTTGCGTTGAATTTCCACATAAACGGCCGAAGTAAACAGCAGAGAGGGAAAACGAGGATTTGATATTTAGTGAGAAAATAGCTGAATGAACTTGGGAAAACCTTCATGAGTAAGATGCCTTAACCTTCTGACAGTAACGAACTATTCGAGTAACAATTTAACTAGCCCCGGGTGTCATACACAGCGACGACGCAACATCAGATCCATGGCAAAAGAACTGCCCGTTTCCAAGTTAACCACTAAAAAAAAATGCAAAGCATCCGTTCCAGCCTCTTTCCCGTTCCGTTTTTCAGGGGAGAAAGAGGAGCTTATTCACGATCTAGTGAAGTTCTTGCGCACCATCTGGAGGACGACAGAAATGTTGGAGGAATGGCGGATATCCACCATCGTACCTGTCTTTAAATGGTATTTCATGGCATCATCCTATGCACCAACATCGGCTGCACCAGCACACTTCAGAAGCAGAGCCATTATGATCGAGAAGCGTTTCGTTGAGATCGTGCATTTTACTCACCCTTCATAAAATCTTCATGGGTTTCATTTAGACGTAGCTTTCTGCATCGTTTAAAAGACCAACCTCTTCTTTAGTTCGCTTATTGGGAAGAATGGCAGAACTGAAGCATCAAAGTTAATTGTGGCACAACCCACCCACATTGTTTGTGCGAAGGCTCAACCCTCTAGAATCCGCTTACTTCTAGACAATGATGGAACACTCGTATACTGCTCCGAGGCTTCCCGGCAGAGAACGGCTCCACCCACAGGAAGAAACCTCAATGGTGATCGGAATGATTTAGGTGCAAGTTACTTGTCTTGCGGTAAGTCAAAAATCGTATCCCATTTTATTACCAAAGTGACTCGGACCTTGCCCCCCTGGACGGTGAATTTTCGTACGTTATCTTTCATTAATTCTAATTCAGAGTCATGGTAAACACGGGGGCGACGATCAAGCCCCTTGTAACAGTACTTGCAAAATGCACTTTTGACGTGCGCTCACGATTTCACTTCTAGATTATATACGTTTATCCACTTCATCCCGAAATAGCCCATTTCATAAGACACCTCAAATGAATCTTAACCAAATTTGTAGGTCAAATTGTTGAACCACCACTTGAAGGTAAACGCATTAACAAATGCATTAACATCTAGCAATCCATTCGACATCACTTGCTTACAATTTACCGACGAAAAGGTAAGATTGATATGCAGTTTAACCTGTCCATATGATACAAATGCTCACATTAACACGCGTCTGCATTGCATTTCATTATTCAACATACAGGGAACATAATCCTGTAGCGTTTAATTTGGAGGCACGCCATTTTTGGCAGAACCCATTTTTTGCTGTGAATAGGCGTGTTAGTTTAATGGGGGCACTAACCTAAATAAATAACTTCCACTCATTTAGGACCGTTTCGTTAAAAATCAGCTTTTTAGCATAGGGACCCAAGTCAGCGAAGTCTGTTAATAAGTTGTCGAGTAAAGTTGATTCATGATTGATATTGAAAGTGGTAAGATGTTGACAGTAACAGATCACTACACATGTAGTTAGCCTCACTTTAAAAGCCTAGTGATGAGCAGTCTGAACTCAGCCATTTGGTTTATAACGCTATAATGATCGATTCACCACAGGGGACCGCCATGGCGATGAATGACGTGAAAGCCTTTGCACTTTGTTGGCATTTGATGGAAGAAAAGAAAAGCATACTGTGCGGGGTTCTATCTTCACCTATGCTAACAAACTATGGGTGATCATGAAAGCTCTACATTTGGGTTGAATTGACTGACGCAACAGTGAACTTCAGATGTGAAGGCAGTCGTAGGTAAATCGAAAAAGAGTGACGTGTAGCTTTGCGTTCACAATCGTAGCCACAGAATGAAAGAACCAGACCGGAAAATTTCACACGAATGAGTGTAAGATTTGGCGTACACATTTGGTCACCCCTTTTGGTAATTCAAGTTAAATATCATTTGTAAACTGACATTGACACTTTTAGTCACCGAAGACATCTTACCAATAGTTTTGAGACCCCTTTTTCCCTAATTTGCACGCTTATCAACGTGGAGAAGTAAAACCATGCACTTGGAAAATGTTTGGGACCGATTGGGTGGTCATCGTTCCAGAGAGGTTTCGTAAATCCACCGATGGTTTACCAAACCTCTAAAACTATGCACGTTCGTTATCCTCTACTCCACACAGAACATGTAAGTCGTGTCTTTTTCATGAAGGAAACTACTCACAAGGTTGCTGAAAACTCTTCCACAGCCCACGACCAGTTTCACCCTTCTTGGGGCTCATCAAATAGACACAGTCCCCGAGTTTCCGTTCTACTTGAACCCAAATTGCACTGCTTTCGAGAAATACACTCATTTGCAAATCAATGTGGTTTTCACAAGAGACTCATTTGAGGCGGCCTATGTGCAGCACATTCAGTTGGAGGACATCATAAACGATAGATTCAGTTGCGTCTCTCGTGAAAACCAAATTGATTTGCAAATGGGCGTAAGTCGTGTCTACTTCATACTGGTTGCCTTTAATCAATATACAGGAAGGTCTTCCAAATACGGAACGAAGATAGGGCTGTGATAATCCTGTAGGTCACGTATCCGTGAACTGCGTGAAAGGGAGGATAAGCCTCGCGCCGCTCAGTGCAACGACTGCTTACGAAAAAGGCTATCGCTCACCTAGGAATGCATGCCACCTTGGCAACGTCTAAGGGGCGAACTCGGACGGTTGTCCATAATGAGGATTTGGCTTTCAGCGAAAATTCCAATAATCGAAAATGGAAAATCATGGCTCACTTATGAGGGGATATGGTTAAACATACCGTCAAATGAGAAAGATGGAGGCAAGCAAAAGCAAGCCCGAGAAAGAAGACGGTGCAGTAGTTGTAAATATAAGTAATTTTGTGTCAGTCGACGCTTAAGGCTTAAGGCTTAAGGAACATCTAACGGAATCTTCTGTATTCATCCTTTTGGGTTTTCTGACATACCTTCATCACTGTGTGTATGCACAGTTTTATCTGTATGGGATAGCGCGTGCATTCTGTTTGGAGACACAGTCAGCTGTCGACCACATGGGAGGTCCGCCTGCTCGGTGTTTTTTGTACGAAGTATAATAGGTATTCACACCGACCATCAGAAGTCAAATTTCATATCAAGCATATGTGAGTCTAAAGCAAATTTAAGCGTAATCAGAATACAGGACATGTAAAAAGCTCATTAAAATCAACAGACTCAATAGAGCATGAATAAAATACGGCACATATAAATAATTGGATTGTCCGCAAAAACTCAAAAGAAATATCAAAACAAATCAATCAGTTACGCTGTTGGCTCAGAGCATTGTCGGCTGCGAGGAACCGCACCAGTGCTTTCTGGTACATTTCGAGCTTTTGGGACTGGTCCTAAACCATTCTCGAGGGCAGTCTTTGTTGGTGGCACTTCAACTCGACGGAACGGAGAATAGGTGACCAGAAAGAAAACGAGTGCACCGAAGAGGACAATGAATAACCCCAAGAAATTGCCAATCATCGCATGATCGTGGAGATTTTGGTAGCTGATTGAATCAAGTGAACATAGACAAATGTTGCAGTAATGCGGTGAAATTATACAGCATGTATTTTATTATCGGCCAATCCAAATCAAGGCACCCGATGTCCTATACTTATGCTTACAAAAAAGAACAAACAGAAAGCCGCTAGGTTGAAACTACTTATCAGTAGCTACACAATTTAGAAGATTGTATGCATACTACCGACTGTTGGAAGACCTCTTGAGTTGTACTGATTGGCGAATCAATCGTTCACAAACCAAAGAAAAAACTGTGCCCTCTTTTGAGGCTTTGTACAAATCATCGCATTTTGTTAGTGTGTAGCTATTTACACATGTTCAAACATGATACCTTAAGTCGAATGCATGCTGGTGGGATAAGGGAAACGAGGTGTCCTACAATGTTTGATTTCCTGTACTGAGCAATCGTGATGGAACTCGAGTCCTGCTCAAATGAGTGATGTGGATACCGTCCAGAGTTTGTGTTTTCTTGTATTGTATACCTTGATTTGCTTGCTACAAACTCGATCTTTCTGCTTATATTTGGAACTTTTCCCTATCACGAGTTTCTTTTTAAAAATTCGCTTTATAATCAGATACTTGATAATGTTTTGCGGTGAAATTGCTATTCATTATGTTGAAGGAGATAATAAATACACTGTCGTCTACATTATCGCAGTTTTCCGTCTGTTGCATTGGTCAGCCAGACGTCCATTCGTCAAAAGCTGCCTGGTTAGTTCACTCACATTACCATTGCTATCTGCGCCACCTACCATGTCCACAACTTCGGTGGCATCACCAAAAATGAATAGAAAAGAATCCACATTTTCAGCAAAGAAATTTAGACCACCGTTTTCTAGCAACTGTAACACGCTTTTGTAAGAAAATAGGCGGAGAGTGTCCTGGTGTCTGAAATTTGCCAACAGCCTTGTTTCTACGAACAATATGGATATTGAATTCTACAGGACCAACCACCAGCTAAGAAGACTCAACAAATTATCAAGTACCTGTGTAAAATTTGCCCTCGCGTGAATTCTGTATTGGTTTCGAGGAGTGTGTGCTAGTAGGGTAAACCTTACAACCGTTTGTTGGGTTTGCTTTTAAAGCAGCTCTACAGAAAAATACTTCGCTTTTATGGCATATGGAACCTGACTTTAGTACCATCGGAACCTGTCTCCAGAACACATCGACGCATACATTAAAAACAAGATTTTGTGTGAATATACACTCATTTGCAAACTAAATTGGTTCTTTCGAGAGACTCACCTGGAACCCAGGTGAATCTCTCGTCTATGATGTTCTTAGACAAACGAGTGTATATTCGCTAACTTCGTGCAATTTGGTTTCAAGTAAAACATAAGGTTAACGGAAACCCAGGGACTGCGCCTACCTGATGAGCCCCAAGAAGGGCGAAACCGGTCGTGGGCTGTCGGTGGATTTTCAACAGCCTTATGAGTGGTACATTACAAAGATTTTGTATGGTTGTTCAAAATTTCATTAAAGCACATAATTCAGGAACGCATTATTTTAACTTGAAAGCAAAATTTTCACTCCAGCAACACTGTTGCTTGACTGATGGTCATGTCATCCAAATGATCTTCCCTCGAAAACGATAAAAAGCACGAATTTAAGATACAGACTATTCAGTAAACGATCAGAAATAGAAAATCTTTCAGTGGCAGTAAATGGGTTAATATCTCGGTGGAAACATAAATCTAGCCACCTATTTGGAGTGGAATAATGAACAGATCTGAATAATGGGGGCTGAGAGCATATGAAAGAGAAAAATGCAATCCACCGGAATTTCACTATTGGGGGATATTTCTTCTTATGTCTGGTAGTCTTGACTAGAGGTAATATTTTACTCCTCGCAAATGCACTGCTTCAAATGGATCCAAGCATTATATATGGTTAAAATTTACGTGTGAAAAAAATACGTTGAGCAGATTTACAAGAGAAGTTGAGGAAAATCAGGACCAAGCTTCTTCACGGTCAAAGTGCGTGTGACACTTTTCGTGCATGTATTGAGACACTTCTTTGCGTCTGTGTCCTCTGGTTTCTATTGGAATGAATGCTTAGACTAAGTTAATTCCACACAGCCGTCTTTCTCCTCAGGGTAGAAAGCTCTATCAAATTAAATGATATTCGTGGATTTGACTGTGAAATTGTATGCCACATACTCCGAAGTTCAGGGGAGCATTGCATTGCTGTTGCAGTGCTTTTTCGGGATCGTCTCACAAATGGCGCGGACAACAAGAAACAGTAGCACTCAGGAGGTTATAAGCCTGCCACTGAGCAACGACGGGCTTCTCAGCAGTGTGCTTATGTTTTACGCCGATATATTCTCTGCTCCACTCGTCCTGGGTGGGCAAGACCCACCCACACGAAAAGCACAAACGTGCCACGAAGCAATCTCCTACAACACGGAAATAATCACATTATGCACAGTTCACGACGACATGGTGCGTGGTCAGTGCTGACATGGCTGTTGATGATCATGAGCATTGGTACGAAAACAGTAAGTCACACTGATATAAAAATATGGATGTTACGTGCACAAACAGTAAATTCAGAAACATGGGACAAAGCCCTATTCATTGGAGTTAAAGTGTTTGGGTCAATTGCTTTCAGTGTATGGTTGTTCAAAATTTCATTAAAGCACATAATTCAGGAACGCATTATTTTAACTTGAAAGCAAAATTTTCACTCCAGCAACACTGTTGCTTGACTGATGGTCATGTCATCCAAATGATCTTCCCTCGAAAACGATAAAAAGCACGAATTTAAGATACAGACTATTCAGTAAACGATCAGAAATAGAAAATCTTTCAGTGGCAGTAAATGGGTTAATATCTCGGTGGAAACATAAATCTAGCCACCTATTTGGAGTGGAATAATGAACAGATCTGAATAATGGGGGCTGAGAGCATATGAAAGAGAAAAATGCAATCCACCGGAATTTCACTATTGGGGGATATTTCTTCTTATGTCTGGTAGTCTTGACTAGAGGTAATATTTTACTCCTCGCAAATGCACTGCTTCAAATGGATCCAAGCATTATATATGGTTAAAATTTACGTGTGAAAAAAATACGTTGAGCAGATTTACAAGAGAAGTTGAGGAAAATCAGGACCAAGCTTCTTCACGGTCAAAGTGCGTGTGACACTTTTCGTGCATGTATTGAGACACTTCTTTGCGTCTGTGTCCTCTGGTTTCTATTGGAATGAATGCTTAGACTAAGTTAATTCCACACAGCCGTCTTTCTCCTCAGGGTAGAAAGCTCTATCAAATTAAATGATATTCGTGGATTTGACTGTGAAATTGTATGCCACATACTCCGAAGTTCAGGGGAGCATTGCATTGCTGTTGCAGTGCTTTTTCGGGATCGTCTCACAAATGGCGCGGACAACAAGAAACAGTAGCACTCAGGAGGTTATAAGCCTGCCACTGAGCAACGACGGGCTTCTCAGCAGTGTGCTTATGTTTTACGCCGATATATTCTCTGCTCCACTCGTCCTGGGTGGGCAAGACCCACCCACACGAAAAGCACAAACGTGCCACGAAGCAATCTCCTACAACACGGAAATAATCACATTATGCACAGTTCACGACGACATGGTGCGTGGTCAGTGCTGACATGGCTGTTGATGATCATGAGCATTGGTACGAAAACAGTAAGTCACACTGATATAAAAATATGGATGTTACGTGCACAAACAGTAAATTCAGAAACATGGGACAAAGCCCTATTCATTGGAGTTAAAGTGTTTGGGTCAATTGCTTTCAGTTGAATAACATACCTATTTGCTTTGCTTCAACTTCATTTTGCCAATGAAAGATGTCACAATGTAGAAAGACTTAAATGTCTGTGCTCCTCTCCTATAAAACAAACGCTACTGAGTCTCAGTTCACTACTCGGCTTTCCGTAAAGATGCAGAAAGGCCTATGTTCAACCACTGAATGACCAACCTCTAATTGTACGCACAGCATTCAAAACAAGGCTAAAATTGCTGCATCCACACGGCCCGTGTGAAAAAGTACTTTTCCTCGTGTTGCTCAAAGTGACAGTGGGATGTATTAAGCCGTAAGCTCCTTTATTCAAAAATGGAACAGGTAAGGACGTCATTTGACTTACTTTCCAAAGAACAATTGGACTTCAGTTATTCCAGTGAGACATACCAGGATAATCAGTCCGTAAATAATGGGACCGAAAATGGTATGAAATGGCAAGTAGATCGAACGTAGTGGAATCGGTGTTTGTGGAATCAGAAAGAAGACGAAACCAATGACCCACTAAAAACAGAGTTATAGTTGAAATGAATTGAAAGCATGGATTTTTCATGTGGTTTTAAGGTGTATATTCTAGAAAATGTAGTAGTGATGAAACGTCAGAAACAAATCCTGGTAACTTCAATTGCAATCACTCCAAAAAACGGTTTTTCAGTCCATTTTGCATATCAGATGAACGTAAGGTGGGTTGTGTTTTCAGCAAGATGTATCAATACTTCAACAGGGAAACACTCTCCAATGTCAAAACCTTTGTACGAAGACTCAGACTACCGCACGCCCTCTAGGAGTAATAAATACTTTCGGAAATCAGAGTTGCTGCTTTATCCCTTTTCCCGAATGATTTGACTTTTCGTGGTGGCCCAAGCTGACCAGTATACCAGTACAACTACCGGATGATGTCAGACTACCTCTACACAACCAACAGGTTCTTCTGAACCCTATTTGACTTGGCTCACTTGTGAAATTAGACTGAGCTGCACGCAGTTAACTATGTGGACTTACTAAGTGATTAAATGACAATGGGGAAGTTAGAAACTAATGAATTAACTACCACACTGTTTATCCAAACATGTGTGCAAAGACGATCTATTCAGGGAGCCACTACCTCATTAATTTCTCTCCTTGCCAAATGTTTTCTAATGACATCGTTATTACTCCGGCGAGAGATCAGTAGATCGCCGGAAGGAATCACTGTGTCCGTAGAACACCGGAAACAGGATTCTAGCCTATTCGTGGCAGCTGCAACCCGGCTGAACTGCTTGACATTTACATCTTTCCATTAGCCAATAACAAGTTGCCTCCGTCCTTACACCAGTCACCGATCAAAAGCTGGTATTTGTTATAGAATGGTTCTGTCAGTGAGTTTTAACTTCGAGCTTACCAAGAAAATATCATCTTCATAATGCTGAAGTGTAACAATTTCAGTAGCGATGCGAGTTAGAATATCTCTTACCTGAATGACACTTCATACTGACTTGCCCGATTTATATAGCTTTATCCGGTAAATGGCGCAATAAGAGGCACTTTGCTTGATATCCGTTTTCATTATATTTGGTCTTATTTCCTGCCAAGTAAAAGCCTAACTCAGTTCCGTTTCGGAGTGAACGGTTATTCCATAGTCCCTTTTTGCTAAGGATATACATTAATGAGGACACTCACGGAGGGAATAGAATTTGAAGGTTAGTTTTCGTTGTACGAATTGCTTCTAACTAGTTATTCAGAACATTCTGTCATCCGCAAGAAGAGACTGGACCTTACCGTGGTGTGCCGGTTTGTGTACCTCAGAAACCCAGTGAGCTACACTGGAGGGTGTCCGCAATTTGAAGGTTTTCGTTGTACGAATTGCTTCTAACTAGTTATTCAGAACATTCTGTCATCCGCAAGAAGAGACTGGACCTTACCGTGGTTGGTGTGTTTGTGTACCTCAGAAACCCAGTGAGCTACACTGGAGGGTGTCCGCGCGACATTCACAGTCTCTCATACCAGGTTGGTCAATGGTTAGAGGTCTGACGAACACAGTCTCCTGGCCCTCCAGGTTGGGGGTTGGAACATGTATGGCGACTTGTTCCGTAGAAAAGGTAATGCATTTGCATTTCCCCGCCAA